AAAGGGTGACCTCAAAACAAAATGTGATTTTGCCTTTTAAAAGTATGCTTTGCTGGCTGCTTTATACTATGAGCTAAGTGGAACTTATTTCATTTGGCTAAGATGAGTTCATGAGATGACATTTTAAATTCTACGATTTTGCTTTAGAAAATGTTCCCGATAACAGACAAATGGCAGATTATGTAAATAACCATTTAAGGCTCCGCTCCCTCTCCCCTCCCACTTTCACAGCCAGAGCACCCGAACCCAAATTGCTTTATGAACATTTTCGTTTAAAAGTGTTTATCTTTCTACAACAAATATGTTGAAACTGTTAGCTCTAAAGCTTTAAAGTAAAGACCTACAACAAATAAACCGCTTGGCCGTGCACCAAGCATTCTTCCAGAAAGGCGGATGCAAGATTACAAAAGGAACCATCTGCTAAGCATGACAGAAGCATCAAAAAGTGCAGCGGAGGGATGCTAATGTCTGAAGTGAACTTACTGTCCAGCACCACTACTGAGATACATCAAAAAATGTTGAGTGTCAGGTCATTGGGGCAATGGTACCTTTATGGATGCTCTGCTTGGAGCTTCATAAAATTGTGAGCTTGAGCTCTCCATCATGTTGCCTGGCAAGAAATCATTTTGTGTGGAGAGTTCAGCCGGTGATGATATAGAGCTGAGCATTCTCCTTTAGTTGAAAATCCACTGAAATAAGCTGTGGCACACAACTGCTGTCGGTTATGAGCGTGGCTCCAAGTTAGGCTTTGAAGGGAATCTTAGGAAGGATCAGTGAACCTCCCAGTCCTAAATGCCAGAGATGTTGTGGTAAATTTTGAAGCGGGGGAGCTTATTGTGATGCCCCTGCAGTGATACCCCCAAAGAGAATCCATAGTCACAAGCCTTTTGCTTGCCTGACTGAAAGGTGCAGAGATGTTGGGGGGTATGGGGAAGGGCTGTACCACTGAGCTACAGTCTTGCAAGAGCTTTTTCAAGAGTAAAAAGAGTGTGTTTGGTAAGCTGAGATTGTTTTCTTCTTCTTCCTTTGTTGCAGAATGATGATAATTTGGAAGGAAGAACTAGATTGCTTTGTCGAACAGCCTCTTTGGCAAGGCAAAACAAAACAACATCTCCCTGTGTTCTAGTGGCTTTAAACTTTGCCACTCAACCTCAGTCCCCATGGATAATATGGAGATTACTGAGGTAAAGTGAAACAAATTGAGCATTCTCTGCCATATAATTGCAAAGTAATATTGTTATGGTGGTTTGTTTTCCCCAGCCTTTAGATGACAGACTGAGGCTCCAGCCCTAGGCATGCTTACCAGGGAGTAAACCCCATTGGATTCATCAGGGCTTAGTTCTGAATTAGATTGCATGGTAAATGTCTTTAAAAGGATTCTGGCGAAGTTAATCCAGCAACAATATGGCATTATGCTGCAAAATGAAAATGACAAAGTAGGTAAAAATTTGGAATTCAGCTGACTTGAGGCATCAAGCTAAATTGTCATACAGTGGTACCTCGGGTTACAGACGCTTCAGGTTACAGACTCTGCTAACCCAGAAATAGTACCTCAGGTAAAGAACTTTGCTTCTGGATGAGAACAGAAATCGTGCGGCAGCAGCGGGAGGCCCCATTAGCTAAAGTGGTACCTCAGGTTAAGGACATTTTCAGGTTAAAAACGGACCTCCAGAATGAATTAAGTTCTTAACCAGAGGTACCACTGTATTCTGTAAGAGCTGTAAGGAAGTTTCCGGGCTGGGGGCAGGAGGGGAGAGGCATTGATTTCCTCCTCCTTTTGGTAGTCACCATGTTTGTCTGCAAATATCACGTGAAATTAAACCAGAAACACTGGTATGGGCAAAGCAATTTCACAGTCAGAGCCAAACTTTATGCCATGGTACACAAAGGTGAATGGAAGCTCCAACAGCTTTGCCTTTTAAAGAAAAGCATCTTCAGGAGACGTGGATTTGAGGGGAGGAGCAGCCTGGAGGAAAGAGGTGATACTTAATCCTTTGCTCACCTACCACTTTCTCATGCAAAATTGTCACCTTGGGCTGCTTTCCCCTTTATAGCAGCCAACATGGTGTCTTTCAGACGTTGAACGACAATTATCATCTTCCCTGGTTGGCTTCCATGCTTTTTTTAAAAAATAATTTTTTATTAGTTTTACATAAAGGTTATTCACCATAAACACAACATTTTCACACATTAAAAAAGGGTTCTTTCAAACTTTGAGACCTCCTTCCTTCATTCCATGGGTTTCAATTCTAAATTTTATTCATGCATCTTTCTATCCATTATACAGTGGTACCTCAGGTTAAGTACTTAATTCATTCCGGAGGTCCGTACTTAACCTGAAACTGTTCTTAACCTGAAGCACCACCTTAGCTAATGGGGCCTTCTGCTGCCGCCGCACCACGTGATTTCTGTTCTCATCCTGAAGCAAAGTTCTTAACCTGAAGCACTATTTCTGGGTTAGCGGAGTCTGTAACCTGAAGCGTATGTAACCTGAAGAGTATGTAACCTGAGGTACCACTGTATAATCATAGTATCCAAAATCCATGTTACGGTACAAGTGTCCTTGTATTCCTGCCAATGATTTCAACTGTTTACAGTGATCTCTCAAATATGTTAGAAGGTTATTCCAGTCTTTAAAAAAATTTTGGTCTTCCTGATTTCTGATCTCTCCTGTCAGTCTTGCCATTTCTGCATATTCCATCAGCTTGGTCTGCCACTCTTCTCTGGTCAGTCCTCCTCCTTCTTTCCATCTCTGGGCAAGAAGCATCCTTGGTTGGCTTCCTGCTGGCTGGGGCTGATGGGAGTTGTAGTTTGCAACATCTGAAGGGCACCACATTGGCTACCCCCCCCCCCGCAGTGTTTCAAGCGTGTGTGTGGTGGTAAATGTGTATTTAGAACCCTGCAAGCCCAAACACAGCTTTGTCTATTTTGAACAGAATGCCTGGTGGGGAAAGGACTAAGCACCCCCTCTTGCTGTGACACTCCTCTGCTCAAAATCACTCCCTCCCAGAGCTGCTTTTCACACACACACCCCACTTATTCCCAAGTATTTCATTTTAAACTGTAATTTGCCTGTTGTTGTTGTTTAGTCGTTAAGTCGTGTCCGACTCTTCGTGACCCCATGGACCAGAGCACGCCAGGCACTCCTGTCTTCCACTGCCTCCCGCAGTTTGGTCAGACTCATGTTTGTAGCTTCGAGAACACTGTCCAACCATCTCATCCTCTGTCATCCTCTTCTCCTTGTGCCCTCCATCTTTCCCACCATCAGGGTCTTTTCCAGGGAATCTTCTCTTCTCACGAGGTGGCCAAAGCATTGGAGCCTCAGCTTCACGATCTGTCCTTCCAGTGAGCACTCAGGGCTGATTTCCTTCAGAATGGATAGGTTTGTTCTTCTTGCAGTCCATGGGACTCTCAAGAGTCTCCTCCAGCACCATAATTCAAAAGCATCAATTCTTAGGCGATCAGCTTTCTTTATGGTCCAGCTCTCACTTCCATACATCACTACTGGGAAAACCATAGCTTTAACTATACGGACCTTTGTATTTGCCTTTTAGGTTTACATAATATGCAGTCTCTCATGTCACCATGCATCTTCTGTTGGCAAGATATAGGAAAATGAAGTCGGATGCATGTTTAGTGCTCTTAGTGCTGTTCAGAAATACAGTCATTTGTATGTGCAACATAGGAAATGGGATTGAATAAACTTCCTTTGAATTGCTGAGGACAAACTCAAAAGCGCGAGGTAGCTGAAATCGAGCATAACAGTTCAAAGGACAATAGCTTCGCCAATATATGCACAGGGCAATTATGGTGTCATACTGCTCTGTGCTCTGTAAATGAATTTGATTTAGACTGCGAGCTATAAGCCATGAATATTAATTTAGGGTGGAAATGATGGGATTGATTAAAGGAGAAAGTGTACTTGTGGAAGGGACGTGTCAGAGAGGGGTCGATCTGAATAGCATTGCATTCTGTTTGAGATCCATTAAGACAGAGCTGTGGAAGGAGCATTATCCTAGCTGCCATGGAAAGGAGTTTTCTAAAAATGGAACAAAGAGCCTTCTTGCCAGAAAAGTTGGATTGCGTTAATTAGGATGTCTCCTGTTTTGAAAGATTGCAAGGAATTGCATGTGTGGTTCGTGTTGGCTATTACAGTTTCTTCAGAGGTTGCTGAATCCAGGCAGCTCATGCTTTAAATTCTAGAAGTCTAGTGAGAACGGGGAAGTAAACCATGCGAAGGATCCCTTTTCCCTGACCTTTGTACAACAGAAAGTGCATGTAAACTTTACACCGACGTTTTCCTAACACTCTGAATTTTTGTCCTGAAGAGAGCATGGACTCTGAAACAGCAAACAACTAAGAAAAATAATGTGCTTTGCAATAAGGACTTGGTTTAGAGCAGGGGTAGGCAACCTAAGGCCCGGGGGTCAGATGCGGCCCAATCGCCTTCTCAATCCAGCCCGCGTATGGTCTGGGAATCGGCATGTTTTTACATGAGTAGAATGTGTCCTTTTAGTTAAAATGCATCTCTGGGTTATTTGTGGGGCCTGCCTGGTGTTTTTACATGAGTAGAATGCGTGCTTTTATTTAAATTGCATCTCTGGGTTATTTGTGGGGCATAGGAATTCGTTGATTTTTTTCTTCAAAATATAGTCCGGCCCACCACATGGTCTGAGGGATGGTGGACCGGCCCATGGCTGAAAAAGGTTGCTGACCCCTGGTTTAGAGGCTTAGCCTGCATTTATTGGGAAAGTTCTGGTCCTCTCCTCTTCCTTCCTTTTCTTTTTTCTTGTCTTTTCCTGAACTATTTGAGAATTTCTGTCCTACCCAGAAGAATATTCAGCAAAACTGTCTCCCCAGTTTCACCCCCTGTGAACATAGGCAGTTTCCTGTGTTCGTATACACATACTCCTTATACTGAATCAGACCATTAGTTTGCTTAGCTCATTGTTGCCTCTGCTGACTGACAGCTGCTCTCCAGGGTTTCAGGAAGCCCTACCTGGAGCTGCCAAGAATTGAACCTGGAGTCCTTTGCATGCAAAGCAGATATTCCACCAGTGAGCCACATCCCTTGCCCAAATGCCACATGGTGGTTGTTTCTAAAATATATTTTATTAAGGTTTATAGAGAAAAATACAAAACGTAATACCTTTCCCCCTTTTTAAAAACCAAACTAAGACTTTTATATAGATTCAATAAAAACACAAAAGGGGGGGGGCAGAATAGAGAAGGCAGAAAAGAGTAGAGGTTGAAAGAGAAAGATAGAAAAATAAGGTTCAGAAAGTAAAGGACTTCTGATTCCTCATCTGTCCGCTATATCAAAACACAAAGCCACTTTCTGTAAACAAACATTATCTTTCAATCCGCTGAAACTTCAATCCCCTGCAATAATTGACCCGTGGATACATCATGGCACATCAGTAGCACAAGATAAAGATAGGATCCAGGAATTTTGTCACCTGCTATTGTTCTATATTCTAGGGCTATGTTTACCACTTTACCAAGGTCTCAAACTAATCCCTTCATCACGTGAAAGGCTGTTGACGCTCAGCCTGTCCTCTGGAAATGTGTTTACTCCTCAAGAACTGCAACTGGTCTGGCTAAGTCAATTTCTTATCTACATGAGCTCATTTAAAATGTGTAAATGCTCACAATGATTCCCACCCCACCCCCCTTGGCTTACTATGAAGGAAAACACATAACACAGTATGTGTTGCCCAATGCAATAGACTCGCCTTTGCTTGCCTTCTCTATTAATCTGGTCTTTTCAGCAGCTGCTAAATAGCAAGAAGCAGGAAAGAAGATGAACCTGAGCCCTCACAGGAAAGCTTGACACAATGAGAAATGGGAAGTTAGCAAAACAAAGTCATTACAGAAATCCCTTTGGTCAATTTACAGGCGATGAAAAGAGTTGAAATCAGTTGCTTCCATTAACTAGAGTGTCCAGTTTAGATGATCAGAGTCCGAACTTCTGTTTGCCAGTGCAAATATTAAATTTACTGGGTTGATTGTAAAAAATAATGCTTGTTTTTGCTTTAATTTGATTGTTTTCCCTGGAGAAACAATGTGTTTGTCCTTAAACATTTAACATAAATGCACTGAATTAGGTGTGGCGGCAACAGATTTGATCTAGCAATTTTGCTTGCTGATATATTTTAATTGCACAATCAGGTGGCTCTTGGCTCTTTTAAAACATGTAAATAGATTTAATAAACTCAACAGATGTTGCATCCTGATGTCTGCAGATGGCAATGCTGCCAGACAAAACATCATAATGTCAAGCAAGTATAATTTTCCAACAGGATGAAGCTATTCCTTGCAGGCTACGGTCCAATAAATAGTTGATAGCACTTAAGCCCATTGCTCTCAACTCTGTTTTATATAAAGTTCCCAATATATTGATACCAATGTTCACTTAAGGGAGGAGCAGTCTAAAGGCTCACATCATTATTTATTTTTTGTTTTAAATTAAAGAAACAAATTCTTATTCATGCCAATATGAAAGCTGAGCAATATTCTCATAAGAAGCTGCTATAAATATTGTATAAAAGCGAGTGTTTAAAAAAGAAAAGATTAAACATGCAGCATTCAAAGCAACAGCAAGTTGTAAGAATTAGACAAATGATTATTATTTTTTGTACATAGTATTTATAGGCACAGATTTGAACAGAACTCTTAAGAGAATAGAAAACCAGTCTAACTAGGGCTTTTAAAAACCAAACAATGGTCTGGAGTGAATATTTAGGAGTTACATATCATGATTGCATGGTTTCAGTTGTAAAATGCTTGGTTTGAGATTAGTGATTGTCTACTATTTTTGTCTGAAAGGAAATCCTTTCTCTCCCAGTTCATTTCCACTGTCACCCAAAACATGTGAAAACCTAGGAGACCTTGTCCAGTGTGGCTGAACCGGTTGTGCTACTCAAAAACTGCCTCCGCAGTAAGTTACATCTGATCAAATGAGTTAGGTCAAAGTCAACTTGAGTCAGGTCTAGGTATGAAAAGGCAAGACAAAGCAAGGCAGTGCTTGGCTTGGTCACAGTAGGTTCTGATGACTAGTGAGCAGGACCATGGACAGCTCCAAGTGTTCTCCACTGAAAGGTTGTTTCCTCTACAGAGGACCAGAAGCAACTTAAGCCTTCAAAAGGTTGGCAATTCCAGTGGTTCTGCTGTCTGTAATCCTTAAAGGACCTGTAACCACTTGATTCTATTGTGGAATAGGAGAAACCGCAGGAAATCATCCCTTTAGCACGAGGGTGATGAGAAAGCAATGTACTTGGGCCAGGACAGTATAGGAAGGGGGGCCAAAAGGTGGGTGGGGAGACCTGTGATTACTCTTGATTCGAATCTTTCTTGGGGGAGACACTGGGATCTGGTCACAGGGACCAAGAGCAGGAGAACAGTATAGATTTGGAACAGTGGTTTGCAGAGGAACATAGTTCAGAAGGCAGAAGCTGGGAAATACTGGATGGGGAACAGCTAGGTGAAGAAACACTGGAAGAGAGAGGGTTAACAGATTCACAGTTGCTGGACAGCATTCCTCCAATCTCCCCAAGGTCACGAAGAGCTCTGAACGTTTCAGAACAGAAAGCACAGAGGGTACAAGCTCAGATTATGAAACGTAGGAGTGACGTAGATTAATAGGGATGGAGGGGGTGTAAGCTTAATTGGGAGCACCGCCATTCTGGGTGGATGCTTTCTTTGTCCTTAGCTGTGCTTATTAAAGAAACTAACTGGTAAGAATTCCTTTAGTTTGATCTGCCCATTTGTGGCCATGGGGGAGGAAGCTAATTGCCTGAAGCCTGACAGCAGAACAGAATCATGCAGGGTGGTGTTTTTTCAGCCGGAACTCGCTGGAACTCAGTTCCAGCCCCTCTCAGGTGGGCGTCATTGCCATTGTAAGGGAACAAGGCAGGCATTTGTGGTGATTTCCAGCCCCTTTTTTCCTAGAAAAATAACACTGATGTTGGGTAACTTCTTTTCTACCATACAAAGTTGTTAAGACTCCACTGAATCCCAGCAGAAGCTTTTTTTACAAGGAAAAAAACTTCCAAGGTTTTTTAAGCAGTGTGGAAGGCTTGGATCTCTCTATGTGTCTCTTTATGTTATCCTCTGATCTGACTCTTATTTAGGGAGAGCCCCTCTCTTCAATTAACTCTCCAATTGCCAATTACTAACTGCTTCCTGCTGATCTTCTATTGATTTCCCTCTGCCCATTCATTTGATGGAATACTTACATATTGACAATTGGCTTGTTAAAATTATTTGTTCCAATTAACCAGCAGTCTATATCCCTTGCTGATCTTCAGTTAGATGAGAAGGAGGATTGAAGTGCTATCTGCCAGTCTGGAAGGCTGCTTTGTTTTGCAGTTTTAGACATTTGTCTCCTTTGCCGCTGCAAACTTTATTGCAGATCTTTCCCCAATATCTTTAACAACAATTCCGCATGCAGGTTTTGACCTATACATCTTTGCCCTGCGAGTGCCAAACCTCACCTGGTCAGACCTCACCTGGAGTACTGTGTCCAGTTCTGGGCACCACAGTTCAAGAAGGACATTGACAAACTGGAACGTGTCCAGAGGAGGGCAACCAAAATGGTCAAAGGCCTGGAAACGATGCCTTATGAGGAACGGCTAAGAGAGCTGGGCATGTTTAGCCTGGAGAAGAGGAGGTTAAGGGGTGATATGATAGCCATGTTCAAATATATAAAAGGATGTCACATAGAGGAGGGAGAAAGGTTGTTTTCTGCTGCTCCAGAGAAGCGGACACGGAGCAATGGATCCAAACTACAAGAAAGAAGATTCCACCTAAACATTAGGAAGAACTTCCTGACAGTAAGAGCTGTTCGACAGTGGAATTGGCTGCCAAGGAGTGTGGTGGAGTCTCCTTCTTTAGAGGTCTTTAAGCAGAGGCTTGACAACCATATGTCAGGAGTGCTCTGATGGTGTTTCCTGCTTGGCAGGGGGTTGGACTCGATGGCCCTTGTGGTCTCTTCCAACTCTATGATTCTATGATTCTATGATTCTACGTACAGTGGTACCTCTGGTTTCGAACTTAATTCGTTCTGGAGGTCCGTTCTTAAGCTGAAACCTTTCTTATCCTGAGGCGCGCTTTCGCTAATGGCGCCTCTCGCTGCACGCATGCCTCTGGTGCGCGACTTCTGCTCTCATCCTGGGGCAAAGTTCACAACCAGGAGCAACTACTTCCAGGTTAGTGGAGCTCGTAACCCAAAGTGTGTGTAACCAGACGTGTTTGTAACCAGAGGTACCACTGTATAACAAGAACAATATGAGGGATGATGGAAACACAACAGCAGAGATGATTCTGTGTGCATCTTAAGAGATAATTCTGTTAAAGTCAAGTAGGGGAGAGAGGGGAGGTGTTGCTTAGCAACCAGGCAGCGTAGCATGATGTTTACTGAGGTATCACATGCCCTGATTGGCTGTGCAGTTGTTAGGGGTTGGGTTTTTTTTTTTTGGCCACTGTATGTTTGGTTGACTGTCTCCCTGCTATGTTCAAGGTCTGACATAAGAAACACCAAACCTCTCTGTTGCTTTCTCCTCAGATTATTTCTTTATTTATTTGTTGAATTTATATGCCGCCCTATACCTGCAGGTCTCAGGGTTCATAGAATAAAATCAGAATATAAAACCACAAAATACATAGTCAAAACAAAAACAGCTCAATAAACTCCCCCCCAACCCATTTTAACAGGGCATAAAATGTCAATCAAATCAACCAAAGGCCTGGTTAAAAAGGAACGTTATTGCCTGGCACCTAAAAGTGTATAATGAAGGCTCCAGGCCAACTTTCCTGGGGAGAGCATTCCACAGATGGGGAGCCACTGCAGAGAAGGCCCATTTTTGTGTCACCACCCTCCATACCTCTCAAGGAGGAGGCACACGAAGGACGGCCTCAGAAGGTGATCTGAGGTCCAAGTAGGTTCATATGGAAAGAGGCGGTCCTTGAGGTATTGCAGTCCTGAGCAGTTGTACACTGTTTTGGTTCAGTTTGCTCAGTGAAGTGCTATCGGGACTTCTTCCTTTTTTTCTGGACTCTGTTATTTAGGT